CTTCAGGTGATAGTAGGCTGATTTAGTGATCGCTTTGATGTGTTTTTCAAAGTTTAAGTCTGAGTTCATCACTACACCCAGATTTCTGGCCTGATTGGTGGTTTTTAGGTGTAACTGAAGTTCTGTAACAACCTGCTCTCGTTTCTCTTTAGCTCCAAAAACAATCACCTCAGTTTTGTTTTTGTTCAGCTGAAGAAAGTTGAGGCACATCCAGTCATTAATCTCATCAATACATTTACCAAGAGCCTGTACAGGGCCCCGGTCTCCTGGTGATACTGTAATATATAGCTGTGTGTCATCTGCGTAGCTATGGTAACTCATATTGTTGTTCTTTATAACATGAGCCAGTGGGAGCATGTAGATGTTAAACAGAAGAGGCCCCAGGATAGAGCCCTGGGGAACTCCACAGGTCAATTTTGTCTGCTCAGATGTAAAATTGCCTACTGACACAAAGTACTTCCTGTTCTCCAAGTATGTTTTGAACCAGTTTAGTACAGAACTAGAGAGGCCCACCCACTTCTCCAGTCGTTGGAGTAATATAATGTGGTCAACGGTATCAAAAGCAGCGCTGAGATCCAGTAAAACCAACACTGACATTTTACCAGTGTCAGTATTCAGACATACAGGTGCTGGTCATAAAATTAGAATATCATGAAAAAGTAGATTGATTTCAGTAATTCCATTTAAAAAGTGAAACTTGTATATTATATTCATACATTACATACAAACTCATATATTTCAGATGTTTATTTTGTTTAATTTTGATGATTACAAATGACAACAAATGAAAATCTCTAATTCATCATATCAGAAAATTAGAATATTACTGAAGACCAATAAAAACAAAGGATTTATAGAAATGTTGGCCAACTGAAAAGTATGAACATGAAAAGTATGAGCATGTACAGCACTCAGTATTTAGTTGGGCCTCCTTTGGCCTGTATTACTGCAGCAATGCGGCGTGGCATGGAGTCGAGCAGTCTGTGGCACTGCTCAGGTGTTATGATAGCCCAGGTTGCTCTAATAGTGGCTTTTAGCTCTTCTGAATTGTTGGGTCTGGTGTATTGCATCTTCTTCTTCACAATACCCCATAGATTTTCTATGGGGTTAAGGTCAGGAGAGTTTGCTGGCCAATTAAGAACAGGGATACCATGGTCCTTCAACCAGGTACTGGTAGCTTTGGCACTGTGTGCAGGTGCCAAGTCCTGTTGGAAAATGAAATCTGCATCTCCAAAAAGTTGGTCAGCTGCAGGAAGCATGAAGTGCTCTAAAACTTCCTGGTATGTGGCTGCGTTGACCCTGGATCTCAGAAAACACAATGGACCAACACCAGCAGATGACATGGCACCCCAAACCATCACTGACTGTGGAAACTTTACACTGGACTTCAAGCAACGTGGATGAAGTGCCTCTCTTCTTTTCCTCCAGACTCTGGGACCTTGATTTCCAAAGGAAATGCAAAATTTACTTTCATCAGAGAACATGACTTTGGACCACTCACCAGCAGTCCAGTCCTGTTTCTCTTTAGCCCAGGCAAGACGCTTCTGACGCTGTCTGTGGTTCAAGAGTGGCTTGACACAAGGAATGCGACAGCAGAAACCCATGTCTTTCATACGTCTGTGTGTGGTGGTTCTTGAAGCACTCACTCCAGCTGCAGTCCACTCTTTGTGAATCTCCCCCACATTTTTGAATGGGTTTTGTTTCACAATCCTCTCCAGGGTGCGGTTATCTCTCTTGCTTGTACACTTTTTTCGACCACATCTTTTCCTTCCCTTCGCCTCTCTATTAATGTGCTTGGACACTGAGCTCTGTGAACAGCCAGCCTCTTTAGCGATGACCTTTTGTGTCTTGCCCTCCTTGTGCAAGGTGTCGATGGTCGTCTTTTGGACAACTGTCAAGTCAGCAGTCTTCCCCATGATTGTGTAGCCTATAGAACTAGACTGAAAGACCATTTAAAGGCTTTTGCAGGTGGTTTGAGTTAATTAGCTGATTAGAGTGTGGCACCAGGGGCCATCAATTTTGAACCTTTTCACAATATTCTAATTTTCTGATATGATGAATTTGAGATTTTCATTTGTTGTCATTTGTAATCATCAAAATTAAACAAAATAAACATCTGAAATATATGAGTTTGTATGTAATGTATAAATATAATATACAAGTTTCACTTTTTAAATGGAATTACTGAAATCAATCTACTTTTTCATGATATTCTAATTTTATGACCAGCACCTGTATGTCATTCGTGACTTTGGTCAGAGCAGTCTCAGTGCTGTGGTGCTGTCTAAAACCTGATTGGAAGACATCATGACTAGGGGTGTGCAAAATAATCGTCATGATGATGCATCGTCATTCTAATTTTCGTGATCTACTGCATCGATTCTTGACGCCAAGTATCGATTATTAATTAAAAAAAATGCATAAATAAAATTGCATGAATGGTTGGCGAACATCAGCCAAAAACAAGTGTAACACAACTTCCAGTCCAGTAGATGTCGCTGCGGATGTGTTGACGCACTTTGCCTTGTGTCACAAGCATTTCCGGCTGCGGGATGCTGCGCCGAGTCATTCAAAAACAAAACATGGAGGAGAAAATATTGCAATGCATCGCAATAATTCAAGTATCGTGATGCATCGTGATAGAATCGCATCGTGGCCTGTGAATCGTGATTCGAATCGAATCGTGACTTCTTTGGCAATACCCACCCCTAATCATGACGGTTGTTTTCTCTTAAAAAGTCATTTAGCTGGTGAAAGACTGCTTTTTCAATGATCTTACTTAAAAATGGAAGATTGGAGATCGGCCTGTAGCTGCTCATCTGTGTCTTGTCTAGATTATCCTTTTTTAGCAGAGGTTTGATCACAGCTGTTTTCAGTGACTCTGGGAAAACACCTGACGTTAGGGAGCAGTTCACAATCTGAAGCAGAACATAGAGCTTACTGACAAACTAAACCAGCGTCTCCTGGATCCTGACATGTCAGCTGCAGGTGTATTGACTAATGGTTCTGTTATCAGCCAATAAAAATGTATTTTGTAATGGCAGAGTTGCATAATATATAATGTTTTAGCCTAATAGGATCATTGCTTCTACATAGCATACAAATATAGTCAAATAATGAAATTGACTCCTACATCAAGTGATACAAATTTGTTCTTACATAAGAGAGAAGATTAGAAATAGGAGGATAAAGGATTGTAGCAATTTCTCCTAAATCTGATTTAGGGTTAAATCTATTTGTATGAACTCTTCTTTCATGATGTCCAATGATCTTGAATACTTAAAAAAAGTCATTTAAGATTAGTAATAATGATGTATGGACATAATTAACCCTTTATGAAGGAAAGCTCTGTGTTTACACCTTGAAGTTTTCTGTCTCTGGTTGTTTTCCTTAGAAGAGATCACTCAGGACAAACTCTTTAAATAACCATTTATAATGTATATGTATTAAATAACCGTGAGACATGACAATGGATTTGGGCAGAAATTGTAATCTTAATCAGTCCAGAGAAATTGCTTTTAGTTACAGAAGGCAGCGCTTTCCAACCGGGCTCACATCTCATTGAAGTCGGACCTAAATCACAGTTAAAGAAGCATTTTAAACAACTCCACTTTGCCACATCATCAGATCATTACATCATACACCTTTGCAGATGAGGAGAAAACAATGGCTCCAGCCTTATCAATATATTACACTAGGTTCTTAGATCAAAGACTTTGCTCCACAGAGGAAGTGTCCCAAATTAGATAAACTACTTGGGAAAACATTAGTTCCGACACGCAACAGGCAGGTATTATTAGGGTTTAACAGACATCATCAATGTCTGTTGATAAATTAATGATAAATTTTAAATTGTTTCTCCAGCACATTTTGTCCTATAAATATATCCAGTTTATGTTGCCCGAATACTTTCTTGCCTTTGATGAGTGTTAGGTATGTAAACTTCTGACTAAAGCTGTAGATACAATTTTGATGAAGTAGCATGCAGATTTCATTTAAATACGGCATTTTGGCTTCAGTACTGAGGCTGAATTAAAAAATGGATAAGAAATCACTCTTAAGTGTAGACATATGGAAGAGATAACTGAATAAGCAATGAAAAGTATGAAGGCAAGGTGAAAAAAGGTTATGCTTTCATACTTGGTCCATTAAAGCTTCTCCTTACAGCGCCTCTTTTACTTTGTCAATAAATGCAAGCTTTTTTTTCCTACCCATCTCCTGCAGATAGATGGATTACAATTCTAAAGTACTAGTCAGGGGATTTGCATTGGGAGCAGAGCAAGATGGAAGCTAAGACCAGATTGATGAGGGGGTTCAGGGAATAAATAGGTTTATGAAATTCTGCACTTTGAGACAGGGACTGACAAAGAAACAAGGTGGAACACCGATAAGAGAGAGAGCTGAGGATGACAACTCCTGTATTACAATTTTCAATGTGTTTTTCCCGGTCACGTAACCACAGCTGGTGCGTGACGAAGGTCAGGGTATTCAGATGAGACCGGATTAAATGTGTGTAAGCAGATGTGCACACAGATTCACCTTATTTTCTGACAAATGATAAGGACTTTGATGATAATTGTGACCATGGTCAAGGAGAGTAAAAGGGATGTAGTTACTGAAGATTATTGCTAATGCTGGCTATGCATTAGGTGATTTTGGTAACTCTGAATATTAAAAAGAAACAGACTGCTGCTCCGTTAAATCAAATAGAAAACATTTTGGACTCAACTAAGTCAAGACTAAGATTGAAATACTTATTTTATTGATTCATTGTTTACCTCTCATGTGAGGGTAGATTTTAAACTCTTTATTTGATCCATATTCATGTTATACTTTTATTGAGACACAAATAGTCTCCTTTGTGTAAATTATTAATAAGAAATCTAATGAAAGAATAAGACTGTATTTGTTTATGTTTTTTATACCCCTTCTCAACATTAAGCTCCCCTGTCATCTATACTGTACGCCTCTGATTATTTTCCTCTGTTTTTCTACCTCAGGCAAACAGAGGATTTGTTTGATTATTCTGAACCAGCCTCTTGATAAGGCCCACCTACACATCCTCTGGAATAAAGGTATGTAACCTATAAATCATAAAGAAAGATGGAAAAAAGAGCTGTCTAAAAATGTGTGTTAGTCGGACCTATCTTTATCAGTTTGAAGAGGCATATAATCCCTTGATATTTTTGTGAGAATCTGTGTAGCTGCCTGTGTAGCCAACTCTGTGTTAAAGATTAAATTAATGCCATTTTGTTCCAAGTGCTTGATATTGACTTTCTGGCTGCCTATGCTGTTGTTTTATAAGACACGAAGCAGAAGAACAAAGCTGCCTTTAGGTTACACTGAAAATGAGCTGTCGACAAAAAATGCTCATTATCTTTAGCTGCCTTGAGATCCATCTTTTGTCAAACACCTGTTGGACAAGCTGAGTGTAAAACTGCAGACATGTGATACTTCTAGCTGCTCCATCTAAATGCAGCCCAATCACAGCCATATGGTGCTCGTTACATCTGCAAATTGGTATGAACATGCCTCAGATGAATGGTAATTATACAGAATTTAACGACTGAGCTGAGTGAGAGCGATGCAGCATGCTACAGTGCTCTTAAGTCAGATTATAGACTGTGCAAGGTTAACCTAATGATTCTTTTCCCCTTGGAAAAAAATACCTTTTTTAGGGAAAAAAATGAATGAACTAAAACTAAGAACATTCATAGAATTTTAAATTTATAAATGCTGTTTTGCTTTTATCACTTTGGCCTATTTATTTCCTTGCTGAACATTAATTTTTTTGCTCTTAAAACCAATGGATGTTTTTGTTCAAAATACTGATTTATAACAATAAATTTGATGTCCTTTTTTAAGTGCTTATTATGTTCTAAGATTACTGTATGTAGGGTAATTTTCATTTTGTTCTTTATTTGTTAAAAGAAAACAGAAGTCTGTCAATTTCTTAATATGTGGACTTGTGCGTTCCTATGTGCTTGTGAAACATCATCAGCCTCAGCCTTAGCACTGTTCTAATTCACAAGAACGCAAAACTGAACATGCTTACCACAACCAGGGCTAACGTTAGCCCGTCAGCGGAAGTCCTCTCTCGACATTAGCCATGTGCAAAACTTTAATTTGACTTTTGTTTATCTGACTGTGTTAATCCTTATTCCCCCACTACATAGAAAAAAAGTAATTTATTATCTATGGACTATTTCGAACAGGAAAGGAAGTGCAGCTCCAGACGAGCCGTGTTTCTAGTGTATGCTTCTGTTCCAATTGACACAGATTTGTTATGCATGCTACCATTCTCCCCGAGTCCGTACTTCCTTCTTATCAAAAAGGTACTTTGCGAGAGCTGTACTCATGTTCATGATACAGAAACAGCCTGTGTCTGACCTTTGCGTTATGGTGTTTACTGCAATAATATTGCATTTGATTGCTTTCTGTTAATTGGTTGATCATTTTTAAGTTGTAAGCGACTAAAACCTGTCATATTTCACCCTTTTCCATTTTGTACTCTTATGATTTTGCTTTCTACCTCACTTTTCCCCTGTCAGTTTGTTCCAATTGATAGCAACAATAAATTTATATACTACTGTAAGAATATATTGTTATACAGGTGATAAAGTTTATAAGCAGTGATTGCACATAATTATTTTCATTTCAACAGAAGTATATTGCACAATATATTGCAATGATTGCCCCTTTCCCACTGAAAGACCAAGGATATAAAGATCCAGGATTTATATTACCTGAGTAATAAGAATCCCAGTTAATTTTTCAGAATACTTTCCCATTACTCAAAAAGCCCATCAAACAACAAACTTACCTAAATTGTGAAAAGGTTATTGGTAAAACTCTTAACTTGACAAAGTCAGACAGACCCTTACCCAAACATTTCATGTTTTATGTAATAAGAAAAGCCAATAAGGCCAAAACGCTACAAGAACGTGAAATGAATGCAAGCCTTACCATTTCGATAAATTTTTATACATATTTCCAGATGTTATTTCAATACTAGCTTGATCTCACATGGATCTCACTGACTGTTCTTTCTGTTCACAAAATGACAACAGCCGAAGAGTTGGCAACACTGTGTGGCAGTAATGAGAACACACAACTGGTTCTCCCTTTCCTTACTGTGCCAGCTAGCTTTAAATAAATCCCTAAAGCTGAGGTCTTCAACAGGGGGTCTTACGCTACGTTCACACTGCAAGCATCAAGAGCAGCAAAAACGCATGTGCTGCTTTATTTTTGATGCTTGTACAAGTTTAGTTCTGACGAGCGGCTGAAGCATCTTTGCTGCTCTGGCTGTGCGGTGGAAAAAGTGGGTCTGATGCACGTTGGGCAGAGCTACCCTATCCTTTCTTTGGCTGTAACAATGGCAGCTATATTTGCTGCTGATCAGTGGGTAAAAAGTAGTTTTAATATGTTTTTCAGAGAGAAAGTCCACCTGAAACCTTAATCTGTGCAGTCACTTCATCTACATTATCATCCTGCCTTCAAATATTATTTCGCTGTGGGAGCCGCTCAGACCCCCATATACTGGCGGTGCGCTGTCACTGGGAATCCCATTCAACACCAAACTCTGGCCCGGTCGTCTCTTTGCGGTTTGCTGTGTCGGCTGTAAGGCGGTTTTCATGTACGTAATCCAAACTGCAGGCACCAGGGTAATAAAAGTTAACATGTTTTGCCGGCAGATTTTGGCATTTTAAGTTAATTTAGGCATTAATAAATTGTTTTAGAGGTGTGATCTGTATCATCAGGGATGTGTCTCTCTTCCCGCCAGCTCCCAGATGAGCTTCTCTGATTGGTTCATGTGGCGCGTCGAGCAACAAAAGTTAAATTTTTCCAACTCCAGCAGTAGCTGCGTTTGCAGCGCGCGCTGTGCGTAAGATGCTTAGAAGCTCACGACGCAGGTGACCGGCGGGGAGGGAAAAGTAGTGATCATCTGTTCGAACTGTTAGTTAAGTGAGTTCACTATAAAGTACACTATATAATCCCCGCTCTATATAGTGATTGATGGATTAAGGGGCTATGGCAGAAGTTTGATCACAGCCAGAATCTTTTAAACTGACTATTTAGATGAGTTTTTGAGGTGCACATCTCGCATAAAAGAATCTTACAAATATTTTATTGTGTTAAAATGATAAATTGGTAATGACTGACAGACTGACTGACATTACAGCTGTAGTAAGCAGCCGATCCCTCTCCCTTTCATGGCTCAGAAAGCAGTGACAGCAACCTGAAGGCCTGAGGCACTGTTTGTATGACACTGTTTTAAAGGTAGGCTATTTCTTAACAAACTGACTGCACAAAGTCTTGTTGGTTGTTTTCCTGGCTAAGAACATCCTAAAACTTTTTCTATGACAAGGTAAAGGTGTAAAAACAACATTTGTGTACTCACCTTTATCAATTACTACAGAACAGGGCATTGCAGGTGTACACCACCCCTCAAAGGCCAATTCTTGTGGCTTTTGAGGGGTGGGGTTAAGGGATGGGATTGAACAAAAGTATAAACTCTTAGTAGGGCGAAAGTAAAGCCCCAGAAAAGGGAAATTACCAGGGTAAACATGTAAGGAAACACTACACAGGCTTTCAAAACCTTCTTGCTTTTAAATGGCAATGGAAAAGTGTCTAATCATTGCAATCATATTAGCATGTTCAGTATAGCAATCTTGAAAGCCTGTGAAGCATTATTTGGTCATCTATAATATTTCAGCTGAAATGCACACAGTATCAACATCTCAATAATAGTTTTAAATATCTGGAAGGACTCATTGCCTTGATACTCTCAGCTGATGTGGAATTTAGAGACCTAAATGCTAAAGATAATAGACAGCAGTGGGGGCATCTTTGAGACATAGAAACAGGAAAGTGTGGACAATTTGGTTTGATAAGAGTCAACATCATCATCTAAAAATTAAGAAAGAAAAGTATCACAGTTTGGTATTTTGCTTATTAGTGTTGACACTTTTTTTCTTCTCACAACTGGTCCATACTGGGTTTTGAACCAAAGATATTATGAAATTTAAAGTAATGTGGTGGTTAAACTATTCTCTTATTTTCATATAACAAGTTTACTCTCTGGAATGCCTTTAAAGTAGTCTACAGATTTGAAATATTTTCTATTTTGTTAGGAATGTAAGAAAAACAATTGGATGAATCCAAAACAAGGACCACATTTGAAAACTATAGCCTTTGCATAACTATGAACCTAAGAGCATTTCTTACAATTGCCCAGGTGTGACACAAAGGCAGCTAATAACTCAAATCTCTGTGATAGTCAGAAAAAAACTTGATCTAGCAAAGGCACTTTATAATCCCATTCAGACATGCAGTAATTGGTACAGTATAAAGTGATTAAATGGCTCCACTTTTACAATCATTCAGCACTTGTTAAGCCCAAGGACATTTTTGTGAATGTGAACGGACAAGGGGTAACATTTTGGTTTGCTACTGTTTACAACAGAACCCTCCTGACAACAAGTCTGCTGAAATATTGTATTTGTATTTGCATCTATTCTTTTTCGATGGCTACCAGGTGATACCTATAGGATTAATACAGACTCTGAATGCATTCCAATATTAGAAATAGAGAAATAATTAAGTAGCTGTTAGAACAAATATATAACTTCTGTTTTTAGCTAATTTAGATCAAATTTTCAGATTTGCCAGTTGATGATTTGGGCAAATTGCCTTTGCTTTATTCCTTAAAGATGCAAATTATTCGTTTTTTAACCTATAGCCTACAAATATAATCATTATCAACTGCTGTTTTAATCTGCTAATTATATAAACATCTAAACAATTTTATTTAAATTTTACTTGGACTTACTTTGTTTATGAATTTGTAGTAGAACGAGAAATACACAAAGAACAACCTGAACCAGGTTAATTTGATGTCAAAGCCCTGGAACAGCAATTAAGGAATCCAACTGATTTTATATAAATGGCACAAGCTAAATTTGGCAAGCAGGTTAATAAACAAACTAACTTTGAAGATAAAGTTTGATTAAAACCAACAAAAAGCACTTCAGATCACATTTTAATGGCCAAGTCTCTGATATTAATATCATCT